ATCTGGTAAAAGCATTCTTGATACTTGACCTTACAAATTATAATAAATTATATTTATAATTATAAAATATAAACCATATGTTTTTCCCAGTGAGTTAGAATACAGAGGTACTGTATTTAACTATATTATTGTTAAAATATGCTAAGGTTTGATTTATATCATGTTTCTATTTAATCTTAGAATATCGACATGGAATAAATAAAGATGGAAAAAAGTTTTGGAACATAATGATAAAGTATACAGTTGGAAATGTGTTGCTTTATATCAACAAATTGTGCATTGTTTAAGAAATGTTTTCTTTTTTGTTACAGACTGCTATCAGTGAAAATTATCAAACAATGTCGGACACTACTTTCAAGGCTTTGCGCAGACAACTGCCAGTTACTCGCACAAAGATTGACTGGAACAAGATACTGAGCTACAAGATTGGGAAGGAAATGCAGAATGCTTAAAATGAATGTGGCAAATATGAATAATTTCGTTCTTCTGTACAAAATAAAGTTATTGCAAAGGTATTCAAAATTGTGATGTATCACCTTGGCCATTTGCCATTGAAATAACTATAAGTAGTTTGGTTAGAACACAAGGCTTAGGTAACTTCCTCTTTTTATTTGTCCATTTGTTTCTCCTTTACAAAGTTATAAAAAAAATCAGTGTAGCTGAAATGTTGAGAGCTTCTGATATATTTAGATTTTTATAATGATATGCCTATAGTTTTCAGTTAAATTAAACAGTTTGAAAAAAATATTTTTGCATAAGATTATCCCATGTTGCTTGCTTTCATGCAAAAGGCAGCTTACCAAACACAATTCCTTTGAAAAGATTTGTTTCTGGACAACATGGATTTTAACCATGTATATTGCAGAAAAATTCTGCCCCTCCACTATTTGAAAGCTGGAGAAAAGCATTTCTATATCCAATCCTATTCACTTATTTAAATAGCTTGATGTTAATTTTTTTTTTAAAGCCAAGATCTAATTTTAAGAAGTTGAAATTAAACATTAGTGCTTATGTTTAAACTGCATTTAATGTTCCATTTGACAGCACCTCAGATGAGTTAGGATTTTATCAGTCATCAAGTTATTTTTATCATGCAGCATAATTGTATTATAGCAAGGCATATTGTTATATATATATGTAATCCTATACTCATTGTGTGTCTGTCAGTTTTTTCTTCAATTGAAATGTACTAAAAATCAGTGTGAATTAAACATGCAAATTTTCTATTTAGTTATGATTATCATTTCAAATATATATCTTGCAACAAGTTTAAGAACTTATTAAGCCCATAATAAAAATAATAATAAAATAATGAAGGCAGAGATAAGGAGGGAAATAGATGTGTGTGTGGGAGTTGCAGTGGAGGCAGTCCCTTCCAAAAATGGCTTGGATCAAGGTAGCAGTCATATGATGTTTTGTTTAATGACCAATCACTTAGCAACAGAGTTGCCAGTCTCAATTAGAATTGTTGTGGACTTTGTAAACTGATTCAAGCTCATAATGTTGCTGAAGGAGAAAATTAAAAGTTTCCATTTCATATTTACAATTACGGAAGTAAATTAATGAAATAAAGGAAAGGATGAGAAAATTTAATAAATCACAGTATAATGATGAGATAATGCAAGTGAAGATAATTGCTTCACTTACTATTATAATAATAATTATTTCAGTTCTGCTATTTTTATTTGAACTATTTTTATTTTATTTGAACTATCAGAAGACTATCAGAAAATCAACTTTCTCCAGAGGCTGCCATTCTGCCACATATTTTTTTTCAGAAAATCAGTTCCTTTTTTCCAACTGTTTTTTATATTGCATATAAGTCTTTTGGACTACTTACAAAGCAGAACAGAAGTAAGATACTGCAATAATAGGATTTGCTGGGCACTCTCTTCATGATCCAGGCACATTCCTGTATGAAACAGTTACAATGTATAGTTTTATTTCCATACCACATTAGGTACAAGGTGAAAATCTAGCAAAAAATTAGATTTAAATGTATGATTCCTATTAAGCTATATTTTCTAATTATTACATAACATCCCTCAAATGTTGATATATATTGTATAGTTTTGCAGATTTGGTAAAATAAAACTCAGAATAAAAATAGTTGGTAGAGGATGGCTTTTACATTAGGTTCAATAAATCTACTTATTGATTATTGATCACACATGTAAGACTTAATTAGATCTAGTTACATTCTTTGATGATACTATATCCACTCATACCAATACAGTTAATAGACCTCAAATTTAGATGGAAAATGTACAGATACGGTGAGAAATCTTAGTTCTTCAGTGCGAATGTCAGTTATATAAGGAGAGGAGGCCGGTACTCCCATTATGAAAATCCTTAATTAAATAGTTCAGTGAAACCTCCAAAGCAAATTAAAAGCAGGAAGTTGTATTTGGAAAATTTTTAAGTGGTGCATGGTATTCTTTTTTGTACAATTCTATTTTACAGAACAATATTTCACATTTATCATTAGAATTGTAATAAATAATGAAATTTCCTAAAATAAAGATATAAATTATCCTATTGTATTATCCTTAAAATATTTTGTTAATATGTAAAATATTCAAGTTTCAAAAGTAGGTGATGTTCAATATATCTATCCTGAGATAAAAAACAACATACGCAGAATGTCTGTCCAGTAAATTTATAATTTATTTGCCAGGTGGGCATAGAATACTGCTTGTTTTTTCTGTTGTTTCCATAGGTGGTGTTGAAAAATCAACAGGTGTTACATCATGGATAATGCCATTCTTTTCTCTTCTTAAAAAGATCCTTAGTAGGATTTAATTATTCTAAAAAGCATATTAATGCTTTAGCTACTATTGCCACTGCAATAGTGTGTAAATAGTAAATATCACACAATAAATTAAATAGTTTATTGTGTGATAAAGTAAAAATGGTAATGCTTTTACCATATAGTCATGCCTTAACCAAGTGTTTTCCTAGGTTACTACACAGAATGTGGTGGTCATCAGCCTGATGACTGAGTCTGTTTGAGTGTACTATGCCTATTTTGCAATAGTTTTACTAATTTCAATTAATTTTGGAGTCCCAAAACTAAACCTTTACAGTATATGGTCTTGATCCATATACAACTTTATTTTGAAATAAGCCTACCCATTAATAACATGTTTGGTGCATAGAATTGTAAAGAGACATGTACCACACTTTCTCCTATCATTTTCCTATCTCCTATCATTACTGTAGGCAGTATTTTCCCTCTTACTTTAGAATTACTAGTCATATAAGGAAGGAATGTCTAACTGACCTTAGTTGATCTCAGAAAGACAAGTTGTATTTATTTAATACTTGGATAGGATACCTTCAAAAAATCTGAGGACTGGGAAGATGAAATATTCCAGAAGGTAATGCCAAATCATTTCTGTCCTGTTGATTAAAAAAAAATCCTGCATGTATATGTAATTATCAGGAATTAGTCAATTTGAGAGATTTATTAACTAATATAGATTTAAAATGTTATTGCTATCAAATGCTTGTTACCTTATTTATTACTTTATATTGTTAAATTAGTAGTTTATATTTCATTTCATCCATTCGGCAGGATTTATTCAACTTCTGCTATCTGCAATTAGTATTGCATACTAAAACAGTTGATGGGCTTGATGGTTTTTCTTCCTCCAAATGCAGCTATAAACATCTCAAGAGGTTGGGGGAATATCACCTCTAGGGATCTCACAATTTCTCATGAGAATTCTGAAAGGTTACATTTCTGCCTGACATGGGAGATTTTGATATTTAAAATCTTACATTTAAGGCAGAAATAGCAAATGCACTGTACTCTTGACATTAAGCAATCTTAGAAGACTATGCATAGATTTTAAAAAGTTGCAATAGCGCTTAGATTTATATACCGCTTCACAGTGCTTTACAGCCCTCTCTAAGCACTTTACAGAGTCAGCATATTGTCCCCAACAATCTGAATCCTCATTTTCCCAACCTCGGAAGAATGGAAGGCTGAGTCCTGTGAGAATCAAACTGCAGACAGCTGGCAGTCAGCAGAAATAGCCTGCAGAATTGCATTCTAACCATTGTGCCACCATGGGTCAAGCAATTTGGTAGTTCTGCAGATGAAATCAAGATCCCAGAACCCCAAAATGTCATATTGATGCCTTTTTTAAAGTTGTAGGAAGAGATTGTTAATGCCTAAGAAAAGTACTAAAATCAGCAGAAAAAGGAGAGAGATACAAGGAAGTAGAGAACTCAGACAAGAAGATGCCATCTTCCTTTCCTTGTTCTTTAAAATCATAGTACGCTAATCAAGAAGATCCTAACTTGGCTTGAAACTAAATCTCTTAACAATTATTCTACTGTATCTGTTAGAATCTCAGAATCCTTTGCTATTATTAGGTGAGAGTCATGTACTATGCATAAAGTTGATGATTCTCTCTGTCCCACACACACACACACACAGACACGTCTGCAGATTTCAAATTTCTTAATCCAAGAAATAATTAAGGTTTTAAAAGTACAATCAGAGTCTGATTTAAATATTAAAATGCAAAAACAGACATTTTCAAGTAATACCTGGCCTCTTCTGTTCATAGTGCAGAAGCTATATAATTTTTGTACTGTGATAGAAGATAAAAATACTTGGTTTTGTAATAATTGATGTCAAAGGATTTTGAATTTATAGCTAGTCTCAAGCTGAATATGACTCAGCAATGATGGGGCAGCCAAAAAGGCAGATATAATTTTAGTTTGCATTAGCAGAAATTGTTTCCAACTTGGAGAAAGCAGTAGTTCATAGATTCCCCTCTCAACTGCTGCATCTAATTCTGGACACCAGATTTTAAATATGCAGTTGGAAAGACAAGAGTGATCAGGATTCTGGAAAATTAATCTTGATAAATTAAGGAGATTTGTAGATAAATATTTAGACTTGAGATAAGATGATTGAGGGATATTAGACAGGATGTCACATAGAAGAAAGCAAGAGCTATTCCGTATCACATGAGAATGTGGAACAGAATGCAAATTTTGCCTGAAAATTGGTTTTTAATGGTTAAGTTAAACCATGGAAGTGATTATTGAGAAAGTTGGTAGAATCCTTTTTAGTAGGTATATTGAAGCAAAGGCAGGGCATAACTATCAAGTCTGTTTTTAGTTTATGTGCCACCCAATGCTGAACAATTCTGAACGTTGCACAAAAAACATTAAAACTATAAACTTTAATTTGGACCCTGTATTGAACACTGGACTTAGTGGTTTAAATAGACTTCATCTAACTTTTAGGTTTCTGGAAATGGGGTGAGTTTCTTTGTTGAGATGGTTCCTTCATCAGCTTCTATGGGGCAAAAGCTATACAGGTAGTCTTTAGCTTATGACCATTTGTTTAGTGACTAAAGTAACAACAGTACTGAAGAAGATGACTTATGACTAGTTGGCCCACTTCCCATAATCACACTACGACACCATTCCATTTCCAGCCAACTGGAGCTTGCCAAAATGTTTTGAGAACACAGATGTTTGGGGGTAGTCCACATATTTTCTCAGGGTGCCTGGCCTTGGGTTGCTGGTACAAACTAGATCCAGCTGCTCTGATCTTTTATCACCTGTCATTCTCCCTCCCGTTTTCCCATCACACACACACAGCGCTTTATTGCCCTTCTATCCCTTCCTCCTCCCCCCCCTTTCCAGTTTTTGATTGCAGGATGCCCATGTGATGCCAAGCTGAGCCAAGCAGATCTGACATTCTACCCCCTTTGACAGAGATGTTAGTTCAGCAAAAGAAAAAGAAGAGGGGAGGGAAAGATACACAAATATTCTAAATTAGCAAATAGTTCAATGGGGTTTATCTGGGTATTGATCATAGAATTTTAAAAGCAGTTTGGGGTTTTGATATGTAGGGAGTCAACCCATTCAGTGTCTGAGGGGGGAAAGTCCTTCTAAGTTACCAAATATTGGGTTTTCCCCCAATGCATACAAGATCTTTCACTTCAAAGTGCTGTTCTCCCTCTGTCACAATGGGGTTGGGAGGTGGTTGCAATTCGGGATGGAAAGAAGATGTGATTTCTGGTTTCAACAGGCTGCAATGAAATACTGGGTATACACATCTGAGCATTTTTGGCAACTCAACAATCACTGGGCTAATAATACTTTTATTGGGGAAAGTATTTCAGCCCCAATTTTTGGGATGGTTCTCTAGATTGTAAGTATTTGGTAGACTTTGTCTCCCACTTTGGCTAAATGTGCTTTTTATCGACTTGTTTTTGTATGTTTCCCTAGTTTCATCCAAAGTTTTTCTCCCCACTGGGAGAAGATGGAGAATATTCCAAATCCCACCACGGTACTTAAAATTAATGCTTTCCTTATTTAATGGGGATGGTAGGTAGAGGGACCGGGCTGCCATCGAAAACGGAAAGAAAAATACAACTAAAATGAAATAAACGTGGAGGCTATTTCTTCTGAATGACTTCCTTCACGTTGGCTTCCTCCCTGTTTCTGCCATCGATTTGTAAGTTTAGGCGCTGCAGAGACAGGACCCGTGTTGACTTTGGCCTCCGGAGATAGCCTTGCGTGCCGGTGCAAACCAACAAGCAGAAGAGGGTTGTTAGAGGCAAGGGACGGATGGTGGGAGGGAAGAGGCTCCTCTTACAGCTGGGTTTGTTTACAGCTCAAGCCGAGTCTTAAATAGATGTTTGCGTGGAAACCCTGAGAGAGGGCGGAGGTAGAGCGGGACACGTTACTTTGGGAGACATGAATCATCCCAGAAGTACACAGTGCGAGGTCGAGGTAGCAGAGAGCGACCTGCAGAGCGCGTGTGGCTTCGCTCTGCCCCTCTCGAGCCGTCCCCGCTCCCTTTCTTCCCCAAACATGGCCGAAAACGGGGGCGGTTTTCTGGAGCAACTCAAGTCCTGCATCATCTGGTCCTGGACGTACTTGTGGACTCTCTGGTTCTTCGCCATGCTTTTTCTCGTCTACATCTTGAGGATACCTTTAAAGATCAATGACAACCTGACCTCAGGTAACCAACGCGCCTTTTTCTCTCCTCGCCTAACCCCACGCCGAGGGCCTTCGGCTGTGCAGGTCTGGGGTGGCTGGAAGGTGGCGGATGATGAGTTCTCTGGAGGAAAAAGGCGAGATAGAAACTTTCTTTAGAGCTCACCCAGTTCCACGCTGCAGGCTGAAAAGCACTGTCGCTCTTGATAGTAGGGAAGTGTACGTTTTCCTTCTGCTCCTGTTGTACCTCTTAGGTAGTAAATTGGAGAAGACTCAGGCTGGCTCCTTGCTCTGCTGTTTTGTTTGTTTGTTTGTCCCCTATTAGAAAAAAAAATAACTCCATTTCAGCCCCATGAGCCTCCGTAGGAGGCATTTTTGAGTTGGCTATCAAGGTTTTATGCTCACTTTCTCCTCCCCAATTTCCTGTGGAGAGAAAGAGTGGGAGCGTTTGGGAAAGCTGGTTGGCTCCTTAGACTGTTCTGATCCAAACTAAAACTTATGGAAAAATATTGGAAGGTTGTTTCTTCATCCGGATGTGGCAACTATGCACATTAAAAGCCAACCAAACTAAAAGAGTCTTTTCAGATCTTGTGTCTATGGATGTATAGGGCTGCAGCTTTTAGAGGTTTTGGTCAACATGTTGAGTGGGGATAGGAGGAACCATAATCCTGTCCATAGGTTTGGTGAACAGACAACTATGGAAATTCCATTTAGCTATCATAATAATCACTACTGTGAGAGTTGGCACGTTTCTGCTCCATGAAAGTAGTGAATAAACAGGGCAAAGTAAAGCATTTTGCAGGCTACAGGGAATTTGCAGGCAGTTATTCCACTGCATGCCTACAAAAAGTAATAAGTAATAATTGGTAGGGACTGAATGCTGTGGGTCAACAACAGCAGAAAGTTATGATATGCAATAAGTCACAGGCTGATCTTTCCAAGCTCTTGATAGGACTTGCTCCTTGCTCTATTTGATCGCCAGCAGCATGTTGAGCAAGTAGGGTAGTGGCCTTGTGGCCAGGACACTAAGATTTTTCCTTATTCATTTAAAAAAGTAGATATAAATATGTTACGCTGTGTGACACATAATCACTAATACACCAATATTGGTTAGTGTGAGATTGTGTGTTGTTTGTCATATGTTTTTAGAACTTTGAAGTGGCATGATGTCAACATACAACAGGAGGTAACAAAAAATAGAACTTGCTTTTAAATATTGTTGAGTTATACAGTTTGAATGTATCTAAATATTTGTATGAAATAACTTATAAATGCCTAAAAATTAGACCAGGTAGATGAATATTTTGAGATGACTACTTTCATAGGGTTTTTTTAAAACCAAAAATAGTGAAATGTATATGGAAATTTAAAAATATAAATGTTGGCAGAAAAGTAGAAGCTAGTATGTGGTCTGTTGAAGGAAGGAATGTTTTCTCCAAGAAGCAAAAATGATTGTGAATACTAGTGTGCTTTACTCACTTTGTTATGTGAAGTAAGGTATTGTGTGTGAATGAGAACCATTTTGATAAGAGAAACAGGGAGACTGTGAGTCCTAGTCCTGCCTTAGGCACAAAGCCAACTGGGTGGCCTTTGGCCAGTTATTTTCTCTCAGCCCTAAGAATGAAGCAATGGCAGACCACTTCTGAAAAAACTTGTAAAAAAAGTTTTTGAAAATCAGACATGACTGAACAGAAGAAAAAATGCAGCAAGAAAAATACAAGCATTTAGACCAGGGTTTACACCGACAGACTCCGCAAATCAGTTGGAAAACAAAGGGGAAAGGAAAAATTAAGTGTTTATCTGTTTTGTTTTTAGGTGTGCTTTTTTTTTCTTTTTAACATTGATAATATAAGTGCATCTACATGGAGAGAAGTATGCATTGGGGTACCCCAAGGCTCTGTTTTAAGCCCAGTACTCTTCAACATCTTCATCAATGATTTGGACGAGGGGATAGATGGGGAACTCATCAAATTTGCAGACAACACCAAGCTGGCAGGAATAGCCAACACTCCAGAAGATAGGCTTAAGATACAGAAGGATCTTAACAAACTTGAACATTGGGCTATCTAACAAAATGAAATTCAATGGTGCAAAAAGTAAGGTTCTACATTTAGACAAAGAAAACAAAATGCACAGGTATAGTATATATGGTATCTTACTCAAAAGTAGTAACTGTGAGAGGGATCTTGGCGTCCTAGTGGACAATCATATAAATATGAGCCAGCTGCGTGCTGCAGCTGCCAAAAAAGCCAACACAGTCCTAGGCTGCATTAACAGAGGGATATAATCAAGATCATGTGAAGTGTTAATACCACTTTATTGGTAAAGTGGTAAGGCCACTTACCACTTGGTAAGGACACACTTGGAATTCTGCATCCAGTTTTAGTCACCATGATGTAAAAAAGATGTTGAGACTGTAGAAAGAGTGCAGAGAACAGCAACAAAGATGGTTAGGGGACTACCCACAAGAAAATGGACTTAAACTATTTAGGAAAATAGAAGAATATGTTGAAGTTGCAGGACTGAAAATAATGAAAGAAAAAGCCAAAATAGTTTAAAATGTTACAGACACACAGAAAAAAGAACTAACAAGGAAAATAGGTATACAGATAGTCAAGAAAGTTAAATATTTAGGAATTCAACTAATGGCAAGGAATGTGATGATTAAAGGAGATAATTATAAATTGGCGCAACAAATTAAAACTGATTTGGAGAAGTAGAAAAATCTACAATTATCATTGATGGGAAAAGTAGCTACTATAAAAATGGATATCTTGGCAAGTTTACTATATTTCAAATAATACCAATAAAACTGGAAAAAATATTTTGAAGAATTAAATAAAACAATATTAAAATATATTTGGCAAGGGAAAAAGCAAGGTTAAGTTTGAAAATGTTCCAAGAGTCTAAAAATAGAGGTGGTTTTAGGCTACCAGATTGGGAATTGTATTACCAGGCTTCGATACTTACTTGGGTGAAAGAATGGATTGAGGAACAAAAGATTATTGATCTTGGAGGGACATGATATTGAATTAAGTTGGCATGCTTTTTTATGGTATGAAAAAAACAAAAAAAATTCAAAGATACTATGTTAGGAATGCATTATTATTATGGGAGAAAATTAAAGAACAACATTATTTGAAAATACTGGTCTGACTCTCTACAATGCAGGCACTGATTTATCCAAATGTTATTGATATAGAGAAGATTACCATATATAAAGATATTTTAAATGAAAAGAGGGAACTTAAAGCTAAACAGGAACTGAGTGATCAAGGGATTGAGATAACATGGTGGTCATATGTGCAGATACAATCTAGATACGAGAAGGATGTCAAAATGTATGGTTTAAAGAATTAACAGAATTAGATCAGATGCTAACGGACAGATGAAAAATTAATAAAGAAAATATATAGCTATTTGTTAAGTATTAAGATGGAAGAGGAACAAGTAAAAGAGACAATGATAGTATGGGTTAAAATTTTGGTTATTCGATTGAGTTAGACAAATGGAAGAAATTATGGGATAGAAATTGTAAATTAACAATGTCTACTGCATACAAAGAAAATCTTTATAAAATGTTTTATAGATGACATTTTCCACCCTCAAGGTTAGCAAAGATGTTTAAGGATAAATTTGCAAAATGTTGGAAATGCCACCAGATACTTGGTTCATACTATCATATGTGGTGGGCATGTCAAAAATATTGGACAAAAATACATACATGGCTGGAAAAACATTCTTGTTGGGCATTTGGTAAAATGTTGAGCATTTTACCAGACAAGTATAACAAAGGAAATGTATATCTGATTTTATATGTACTGACTGCAGCGAGAATAGTATTTGCACAACAATGGAAAAGTGAAGAGATCCCAACAGAGGAAGATGTGATTAGAAAAATATTGTGCAGAAATATTTTTTTTAAAATTTGATTTATATGCCGCCCTTCTCCGGAGACTCAGGGCGGCTTACAATGCGTTAAACAATAGCCTTCATACTTTTGTATATTTATACAAAGTCAGCTTATTGCCCCCACAAACTGGGTCCTCAATTTACCTACCTTAGAAAGGATGGAAGGCTGAGTCAACCTTGAGCCTGGTGAGATTTGAACTTACAGTAATTGCAGACAGCTGGTGTTAATCACAATGCTATCAGTCTGCTGAGCCACCAGGCCTAGCAGAAATGGATAAGCTAACACTTACAATTGAGGAAAAGAAAGAAACTAAATATTTTTTGACTTGGCACTTATTTTATCAATGGCTAGCTGATAAAAACAGGAGCTAGAAACAAGGAAATATATGGAAGGATCAGTGATATAAGGAAGATATGGTAACTTGGTTAAACAAATAGTATGATTATTATTATTGTTAATATTAATATAATAATATTAATGCAATGAATGTTGTTGTAAACACTTTGATTATTATTTCCTAAAATGATTTTGTTATGTATGTATCTATTTTGTGCGGGAAATTCAAATGTATAGTGAATCCTGATTGGTTCTTGGTCACCTCGGAAAAGTATATAAAGAGGGCTGCTGCCTGTGTTCTTTTGCTGAAGTCTCACCCTGAATTAAAGAGCTGTTGTTACTAGCCTGCTTGTGCCTCTCGTTATTCCCGCGCTACAACATTGGCGACGAAGGTGGGATAGAGGACACAAGAGGTTTTTCAAAAGAGCTTGGAGTTTCAGCCAGGGTGACTAGCGAACACGGAGACACGGCATGTCTGCCTACGTTCCGCCAAAACCCTTCGACCCGACCCGAGAGAAGTGGGGATCGTATCTGACCAGGTTCGAGTGCTCACTGGAAGCGAGCGAAATGCAAGGGCTCTCTGCGAATAGAAAAAGGGCTCTGTTCTTAAGCCACTGCGGGCCAGACGTATTCGAGATGGCTGAATCCCTCTGCGAGCCAACCCCAGTCCAGACGGTTCCATGGGACGTCCTTCAGGCTAACCTGAAAGCCCACTACGCTCCAGTTCTGTCTAAATTCGTCCAGCGCTACGAACTCCGACAACGAGTTCAAAAAGA